ACCAGGCAGGCGGGCACTCTCGCTCGTGGCGCCGGCCCGCCGTCGCGACGCTCTGACGGCACCGCAGCGTCGCGGGGGAGGGAAAGAGGGGTGGGGGAGCCCGCGCTCTCTCTTGTTGTGGTCCGGAACGGCGGGGTGGGGTTAGGGCAGAGAGAGATAGAGAGGGATAACATAAGGAGAGGAAGATGGGACATCTGTCCCACTCAGCGAGGAGGTGAAAAACGCCCCCATGCTCGTGCGTGTCTGGCAGCGCTAATGGCAAAGATAGATAGATAGATAGATAGATAGATAGATAGATAGATAGATAGATAGATAGATAGATAGATAGATAGATGCAAGCAAGGAGGTGTGCCAAAGGCGGTCTTTATAGCGCCGTAAAAAGTTGGGGAAACAAGACGGCGGCGTGGCGACTTCCGGCGCCAAACGAAGGCAGGCGCAGGGCGCAGGCCCGCCCCCGATGCAGCGGCGCAGTATCGTCTCGTGGAGCATCAACTATTTATCGGTGTAAGAAGAGCGGGATCGGAAGTGGCACTCATGCCGGGGAGGAAAGGAAAGGGACGAGGGACGGTCGAACGCGATGTGGCGCCGTCAAATTCAATGCGTGTTCAGAATGTCATTGCGAATTTCGATCGGAATACCGACTTTTCATTTTACTTTTTATCTCTCTCGTGTATGATGACAGATAGCCTTCATCATGGCCCCCTGGCTATTGGTATGTTTGCTTGTTTTTTTCTGACTGCTACGCTCGGGAGGAAAAAGCGGGAGAGAGAGAGATGGGGGGCAGGAGGGGGTGTCTACATGTCGTTTTGATGAGTTGGCTCCCTGCCGCCCGCGCGGGGGGCGCGCAGCCGCAAGGCTGCTTCACCCAGACCCAGAATACCTTCTGATTTGAATGACCGGTTTGTTGTGATCCTGCGACCGCCGCCGAGGCACCCGGCCGGGACAAAGTGTGCGCAGCTGGGAAACTCTTGTGATAGCGTTTCCCACAACCACTGTAAACTCCCACGCTCGCCCACGCCCCATCTTCCACAAAAAATAAATGAAAATAGATAAATTACATAAAGGGCGAGGAAATTCCAAAACTCTATGGGTAAAGACCGGTTGGAGTTGGAGTACGCCTTTTCTTCGAGCCTCTATTCCGGCTTCCCAATGCCTGCCCTCCTCAGATTTCTGTCCTGCATGAGGGGATCGCGATTCGTTTCGCTTCCTGCTCTCTCACCACCTCCTGCTCTTCCACCGCTTCCTGCTCTTCCACCGCCTCCTGCTCTCCCACCGCCTCCTGCTCTTCCACCGCCTCCTGCTCTTCCACCGTCTACTGCTCTTCCACCGCCTCCTGCTCTTCCACCGCCTCCTGCTCTCCCACCGCCTCCTGCTCTTCCACCGCCTCCTGCTCTTCCACCGCCTCCTGCTCTTCCACCGCCTCCTGCTCTCCCACCACCTCCTCCCTCTCGGGCAGGTTGCGGGTGGCGTGAAAACTGACGCCACCCGCGCCGGCGCTGCGAAATGTTTTCCGCCGGCCATTCTCCTCGGACGCCATCGCATTCTCCCTGCGAGAGGGGAGCGGGAGGAGGGGCTTGGCTGGCACCTGCTCAGCGTATCGCGGACCACCTCGAAATATACGAAACCCTGTGTGTGTGCGCTTCGAACAATGGCGACTGACCACCCTACTCTTAAGCTTTGATGCCGGGCGTTGCCCGGGGCAACCGCGGAACCTTCACACTATCTAAAAGTAGCGCCGACCACCGGCACCACTAATTCAATTATTGCGCAGACGGCTCGCCCCACAGACCCACAGAGCCACTGTACGAGTTTGCGTTTGCGTTCCTCGCTCACACGTAACAATGCAACCGCGCATTGTTGGCCGGCGCGGCGACTCGACCGGCCAAAAAAAGTAACGCGGCGACGATAATGATACCCTACCTGTCCAACCCCTATTGCTACTACTGTTAGGAAGAAATGAGGGCAGGGCACTCACTGTCACTCGAGTCGCACACCTATAGTCAGGACGGGAGAACTCTCAACTGCACTGTTTAGAAGAGCTTACGGCGAATGTCACTGTAAGCCTACGGCGAATGTCATCGTAAGCTATAGGGTGACTGTCACCGAATGCTTTTCATTAGTGCGGCAAACCAAATGAAGGACTGCGCACCTTTTAGAAGTGTTGAAGTCTACGAAGCCGGCTGCAAAGTGCCATTTAAACTCTCAATCACATAGACTGAGACAGTTCTTTTGTCATTTTGTTTTGGAGTGGCTCTTTCTTTTTTTTTTTTGTGGTGTAATTTTTTTTTTGCGTTTCATAGGCTTCAACACTCCTGGTGCCGCGTCCTACCTTTTGTGTAACACACTTGGTGCCTGCGCTCGCTGTGCGGCGGTGGCGAGGACTGTTCGCGTGGCGGGGGACGCGTGCGTGAGAGCGCGGCGGCGCTGTGCGGCGCGCGGGCGGGAGACTAAGAAGCACGACGACGAGCCGCCCGGGGGGGCCGCGCGCGCGCGAGTCGCGAGAGAGGCGTGGACAGACGGACGGACAGCAGGTGGACGGGCGGACAGGCGGACAGGCGGACAGGCGGACGGACGAGAACGTAAATATTGGCCGGCGATGCGCAAAGACAATGCTCGCGTCGGTAATGAGGGAGGTGGAGGTTGGAGGGGAGCCTTGACAGTGCCACCTCAGACAGACAGACGGACGGACGGACGGACGGACGGACGGACAGACAGACAGAAAAGACAGAATTCTGTCTTTTGCTTGTGTTTGGTCAACTCGAGAGTAAAAGACTCCCACGCTGGGAGTCCGAGGCGCGGCAAATAACCTCATCCCCGTCGTCGCCACCCCGTTTCCGCATTTTCTGTTGCTTTTATCATTTATTATTTTTAACGTCCTCACTTCCTTCTCCCCCTTGGGCCACACCGGATGCGCCGCGCCGGGGTCTACCTGGCCCCCGCGAAGTCGCACACGCGACGCGACCTTACCCAACACCCCGCCGTGCTAGCCCCTCAGCCCCTCTCTCCACCCCGCCGGACCTCTCTCCCTCCCCTCCGCTCCGCACTGTCTCGTGGTCGTGGGATTCAAATTTAGATTCTAGCGCCGCAGCGGCCGGCCGGATGCCCTGGTCGCTCCCAAGATTGCTCTATCTCTTTCCCTCTCGCCCTCTCACGCGCTCCCGTTCCCTCTCTCTCTCTCTCACGCCCACCCCCTGTTTTCCTTTTCCCGCCTCCTCTCTCTTTAACTTGTCGCGCTGCTCCTTTCAACTGAACAGCGAGCGAAGTGCGTGCGCGTGCATTGGAGCCAACCGCACTCACTCAGCCGTGAGCCGTTTACACCCCTCCCCCACCCCTCGCTAAAGTGCAGATTTAAATGTGTCCGGGTGAACAAACCCGGGCCGTGGTCGAGGCGATGCGAGGCGTCTCTTGGCGCTGGAGAGGTCTCTGCGTCCTGCTTCCGCCAGCTCTGGAGGAGAAGCGCCTGGAGGCAGGCAGACCCGCCGCTCACGGCTGCGCCGCGGGTTTGCCTACCCTCCAGACCACAGGCGCTCCGCGCTGCTGTCTGGCTGGAGGAGGATAATCCACACCACGTCCTCGCTCTGACTCTCAGCTGGCTATGGAGACGAAATGGAAACGGGTTGCGCAACTGTCGTTTCCAAACAACATGCCATGTCAATAACGATATCAACAATCGGGACACTTTTAATCTGCGTCGGCGTTGCCATTTCCTCGCTCGCGGGCACGGTGGAGGACTCGTCGACCATCAGAGAGTGACGGCAATATTGTCGGCCTCTCTCACTCGGAAATTAAATTTAAGTATCTAATGTCAATACACTCTGTGTGTGTGTGTAAGAGAGAGAGAGAGAGAGAGGGGGGGGGGGGCGAGGAGCAAAATGACAGACATGCTTCGGCTTTGTCGAATTCATTTCCCTGGGCGTCGGCGTCCCTCCCAGTTTCCCCCTCTCTTCGCCTGCCTAGCGCCGCCGTTAGTCACACAAATCCTTGATTCTATCCGCGCCTCCCCTCCCTCTCTCCCTGCGCCGTGTGTCTGATCGCAAACGCGCGACAGAAGATATGTCACCGATGGTGTGTGTGGTGGGTGCTAGCAGCCCAGCGCCGCCCCGCCGGGGCCGCCCAGCCACTGCGATGGCTGAGGCAGCACTAACATGATTGGCTGTGCGTCACATGCTGCCTCGCAGCAGCGACGTGTGTGTGTGTGTGTGTGTGTGTGTGTCCCTCTCTCTTTGCCCCCCCCCCCACCTTTCTTTCCCCTTTCTGGCCCCAAGCTGACCCCTAAACCCTACCCCAGGCAGGGTTGCGCGGAGCACAGAGGCCCCTCCCCGGGGCGAGATGGGGAGAGCGGATAGAAACGGGTCGTCGGGATAGAGGATGGGGATAGCGTGGGATAGGGGTCGGGCTCCGCCAGGCTCCGCCGCGCGCTGGCCTGTCTGTCCAGCGATGCGACAAAACTTTGCAAGTTGGCGTGCCGTCAGGGCCACTCTGCGCGCCCCTCTCTGCCGCCCCTGGGCCGGGGGGTCGGCCCGGGTCGTTGGGGGGACATGTGTCGTGTCCTGGCAACAGCCACTTCCAGATAATGCCTCTCGCTTTGACCGTGTAGTAGAGCCCGCGGTGTGGTGTGCCACTTAGGCCCCCGAATCACTTTTGCCGTCCTTGCGATGTGTCTGCCTCGCCCCTGCCCTCTTTCCCCCTCCCCTTTCCCCGCATCCTCTCGCCGCGCCCTGGTTTTGGTGGGGAGACGCCGCCGTCGCGCTCCGCTGCACCGCCGAGGGGCCCAAGGGCGCCGGCGTTTGCCCCTGGCTGGAGCCGGCTGGAGAGCTCTGTGGTCGAGGGCGAGTGGGGGGGCCTCCCTCCTCCACGCAATGCGTCCTAGATCTCTCCCCCGTGTGGAAGGATGCCAACCTCTGACCGCAGCCGCCCCCCTCCCGCCCCTCCCACACCCCGGGGCGTCACTCAGCAGGCTGTTGTTATCGCGTGGCCCCCAAGGGGACGCTGCTACTCACCAGGTTGATGGTGACGACCAGGTCGTGCTGCTGGTGCCGCTGACCCTTCTTCTTGGCCTTGGGCGGCCCGGGCTTTGGCGGCGGCGGCGCGGGCTTGGGCTGCGCCTTGGCCTTGACCTCGCCCTTCTGGGCGCTGGGCGGCTTGGGCGTGCCCGCCTTGGGCTGGCCGTGCGCGTGGGCGGTGGCGGGCTTGGTGCCCGACGGCGTGCTCGCCTTGGTGCCGACGGGCGTCTTCTCGCGGGACGCGGACTTGGGCGGGTGGCTGCCATCCGCGGGCTTGTTGCGCGCCTGGAAGCACAGAGAGAGCGTTAGAGTACCTCGCTCGAGGACGCCGGGGTAACAGGCCCTGCGCACCCGCTCCTCCTTGGGGTACGGTAGGGCAGGGACGAGGGGTGCTTCACCAAAAACTGAAGCGTATAATGATTATCTGTTGTCTTTTTTCTGGACTTTCCAAGTTTTTTTTCTAGATTTCTTCAGGTTTTCTTTGATTTTATTTTCAGATGTTTCAGTTTATTTTCCCTTGCTTTTCCCTGAATTTTTCCCCCTCCTAATTTGTTTGGAGGGTGTACACTGATTTTGTTCACTGTTAGAAAAAATGGTTATTTCACAACACCTTTACTTTACGAAGAGATCTGAAAATCACGATACTTTTCTGAGAACCCAAATCCCAACAGTTATTCGTAATTTCCCAGAATATCTACGTGTTTTTCTTTTCCAACATTCCTTTGTAACTACTCTACAAAGAACCTTCGTTTTACTCCATAGAATCTACCTAATTAAGAAACTCCAACATTTCTCCGTTAAATTTTAGAAAAAATGTAATTTTGAATGGTCGTTTTAATTCACATCAATAGCAAATACAGTAGGCTCTTATTTCTTGCATCTGCATCCCAGTGGAAAAAACTGTTTTACATCACACCATTCCGTTGTAAGATGTGAAGAAAACGATACTTTGTTGGGAAATTGGAAAAGTTTCTTTGTAGTCCAAAGTTTACGAAGAAATAAGCAATGTAGTTATATCCTTAAAATTTAACAAAGAAACTTTTTCCACGAAGAATTCTTCGTGAAGTTTTGACTTTTTTAACAGTGTTGAGGGAATTATTCGTCAAGGCAGGGGGCCGTCCGAGGAAGCTCGGTGGCGTCAGCCTCCTTAACAGTGTCGACTAAAAGTGTGGCGGCCTACAAGGTTGGCGCCGGAAAGTTGTGAGCGTTAGTAAGCGGCCCTTGTCACGTCAGTGCGAGCGTTAAGCGAACCTCTAAACGTTCCATGCCAAACAACTGTTTTTATTCAAGTTACCCCTCATGGCCATGGCCAATGCCCAGAAAGTGTAGTAAGTAGGGTGATGATTGGGCGATGACTCTTTGGCAAGCCGTTTGACTGTAACTTACAGGAGCGAGCAGCGCTCGGTCAGTATGGCGACCGCGGTCAATAAAAGAAAGGCGAGTTCAGTTTACCGCTACTCGCGGCCCCATAACACACTAACACACACGCTCACACGCTCGCATAAGAGGCACGCATGTGCAGGCTAGCGCTCGCTCGGTCTCACATACCCACACCAATGCACCACTACACACACACACATGCTCACCGACACACACGCACACCCACACGACCAACAGTAAAACGCGCGACCTTTTTTTCTGTTCCATTATTCTGGGGGGGGGGGGGGGGCTCAAGATTGGCTCGCTGCGCGCGGCCGCCGCGCCCAGCTGCTGCTGCTGCAGGACGCCGTCGACACGACCACTACTGCGGCATGCACTAAAACTGCGCCATAAAGAAGCCTACGGTCAGCCCCCGCTGCTCGGGCATTCACTGCGCGGGCGGTTGGGGCTCAGTGGGGCTCGCCCGCCCACCCCCGCGCGCGCGCCCCGTCCGCCCGCCCGGGTGGATCCATTGCAGCTCTGCACGGTAAATCCGCTTCCTTGATAATCAAGGACAAAATTAGGTTTTCAAGGATAAAATCTCGGTTTCAAGGACCAGGACACCGATTCAAGCACGCGGTCCTTGAAATATTAAGGAAAATGGCTGTTTTCAAGGGGCGTCCTTGGAAAACCGACGACCAGGATTCAAGGACAGCGTCACGTCCAATCAAGGACGACTCAGGGTGGCCCAGGATGTCGCCACCGGCTCCCCGACGACGGGTTCGAGACCAGGACGTACCAGATGGAGTCCCCGAGGCCACCGGCGGGTCCCTCAGGTCCACGAGGGCCTAGGCTGGGACCTCAGGTCCCAAAGGGGGACCTGAGGTCCGAGACGGTTACCTTAGGTCCCCGGGGGTTGGGACGGCACAGTAAGGTCCCGGAGGGTCCCCTGAGGTCCCAGGTGAGTACCTCAGGTCCCTGAGGGCCTAGGCTGGGACCTCAGGTCCCAGGGGGGGACCTGAGGTCCAAGACGGTTACCTCAGGTTCCCGGAGGTTTAAGCGGCATAGTAAGGTCCCGGAGGGTCCCCTTAGGTCCCAGGCGAGTATCTCAGGTCCCTGAGGGCCTAGGCTGGGACCTCAGGTCCCAGAGGGTTACCTGAGGTCCCAGAGGGGTACCTGAGGTCCCAGTCAGGTACTTCGGGTCCCTGGCAGTTGGGGCGGCCTTCTAAGGTCCTAGAGGAGTCCCTGGGGTTCCAGAGAGGTACCTTAGGTCTCTGAAGGCTCTGGCTTTTTCCAGAGGTACTAAGCGTATACCAGAAGTCTCCTTCGACCGATGCCACGCAAAAAGAGGTTGTGAAGCATTTTAGAGCTTTCTAGAGGGTTTTTTGGATGGAATATCTCACAACCACTTGCTCTTTTTTGACTTTTGACATCCTCTCGTCGAGACCTTTTAAACGAGTATAGGGTTGATAGGGTTCTAAAGCCTAGGAAAGAAGATAGGCTAAGGGACCTTGAAACCCTATCAACCATATACTCGTTTGAAAGGTCTCGACGAGAGGAATTCGATAGTGATGTCAAAAGTCGAAAAGGAGCAAGCTGTCCTGCCATATTTTATAAAAACCGAAAACCCTCTGGAAAGCTTTAAAATACTACACAATCTCTTTTGGCGTGGCATCGGTCGTGGGAGACTTCCGGCATACGCTTAGTACCTCTGGAACCAGCCAGAGTCTTCAGAGACCTAAGGTGGCCCTCTGGAACCCAGAAGACACCTATGGGACTCGAGATACCAGCCTGAGTCCACAGGGACCTGAGGTACTCGCCTGGGACCTCAGGGGACCCTCCGGGACCTTACTGTGCCGCCCCAACCCCCGGGGACCTGAAGTAACCGGCTCAGACCTCAGGTCCCCCTCTGGGACCTGAGGTCCCAGCCTAGGCCCTC